GATTAAATAAATTTGGTGAGAAAACACAAACCCATGTCCAGTTTTGTAAGTTCATATGGAACCCATTTTTCTATCTTCTGAGTTCTTTGTAAGGCTTGTAAATAATGATCCACAATTGATTGACTGACTGTACAAGTAGTAAAGAGCTGAGTAAACTTCAAAGACACTTCTAAGAATTCATTAACATTGAAATTTTTAAGAATTTTTCACCAAGCTAATAAAACTTGTCAATTTCATCCTTCTGTAAGTTAAGTAAAAAGGAGAAGACAGTAATGAAATATCTTTCCATTACATTTTTTGATCATGATTTCTCAATGATAAAATTGGGAAAAATATCCTGTATATAATATGTATATATTTTTTTTAATCATTTCACCCCAAGCAAGGCTTATTGCCACTAAGATGCAAGGATAAAAAAATAACAGCTTTGACTCTATGACTACTTCAGTGTTCAGCTAAAATTACACATGGAGTTTTTATATGTGTGTGTAAAAAGTAGGGGATAAATTATTTCATTTTTGATTTTGTAATACCCACAATCAAAAATAAGCAGTTTGAGGATATCAAAGGTTTTGTATTTATTTTTGATTTCTTTTCAAACTTTGGAGTCATTTTTATTTTTATTTTTATTGAAGATTTTAAAATTGGAAATAATGTTTTTATTATAAGATTTTGTACAAGGTCATTTTTTTAATCTAACATCTAATTAATATGAAAGCATTTAATTTCTTTTCTTTGTCTACATTTTTAGTCTAATAAAGGTTGAGCTTTGACAGAATATTCATATTATTTACACTAATATTTCTTACTTTAACTTTTTGATTATTTCTTATATTATCAGCTTTCTTTAAATACATACGAAAATGTTTACCAGATTATTAATTGGATTTGTTATATTCAACCTTTAAATTAAGATTGTTTATCAATTACATTGACAGAAATAGATAAAATCTTTTTTTGACTTTTATATGTTGTAAATTCAATGATTACTCTTTATGGTTGTTTGTCCTCTCTAATGTTTAAAAAATATATTTATATATTGAAACTTTATTAAATCATGTTTAATATTACTTTTGCACTATTTTACAATTGTTTCATTGCTGGAAAGATTCAGATATGAAGCACTGTTTGGTTTAATTCTTGTCAATTTCCTACTAATAGAAACAAATATGTTCCACTTGTCTCTTTATAGTTCTTAAATTCTCTCATACCATTTTGATTCATGTCTGCTGTGTATTATAAACACACAAACACACACATTATATATATATATATATATATATATATATATATATATATATAATTTTCTTTTTAAATATCATATGATATTTAAAACACACACATTATCAATGTTAAAAGAAGGAAAATAAACTTAATTTTTAGCTCTCATGTTTTATCTCACCCAAAAACATTCCTGTATAAAATTTACACTATGTCCCTACAAAAGGAATCACTTGTCATATGATGAGTACTGTTATTACTACACACACAAACATCTATGTTCTCATACCACATCATTATTATCTGTATATTTGTGTGTATGCTGTACGACTGTTAATGTGTACAAAAATGCATCCATTGAATCTCTTGTTAGCCTAATTTATATCTGAGTGGGAGTCCAATGAACATTGGCTGTGTGTAATTATATAAATTCACTGGTGGAGAAAACTCTGCAGATTTTGACATCACTGTCTCCATGGTTACTCAGAAATTACATATCTACATTAATGTATCGGCTATTCTGATTGGCTGTTGAAGTTCACAAGACCAGCTTTATATGGAGAGTGAATCTATAGATGTTCTTTGCTATGGCTGGTTATTTTGTGATGTATTCACATTTATAAAATGTCTTGAATATGAACAACGATTACTTGACAGCCAATTGTATTCCTCATCCTTTCAGAGTTCCTCACTTGTTTTGCTTTCCTTGACTTTGTGTCATATATTATCAATAAAAACTGTCAATATTCTGAACATTTAACATTTGATGTTTTGTACCAAATTGAACATTTGCTATGATAATGTAAGCTACCTCAGTAAGTCGTCGTCTGATTGAACAGTTAAGATTCCAAAATTCAAGGTGGTTCTTATCTCACTATTTTTGAGAAACTTTTACCGTCTTCTGTTTTAATTGATTAAAGCTTTATGAGTGTGTGAATTTGATAATTATATTATTACTCTAGACTTTAACACCTCAATTTAAAATGAACAAATTTTATTTAGTAATAGTTTGGTCAATGTAGATTTATTTATTAATGAAAAGATATTGAAAATGTCTTTGATAGAGTAGGTGTTAGCATGTAATAGAAGTAGACTGTGTGAAGACTCTGGCCAACAGTACTGGTGTGATCTGTCACAACAATACAATGTTCAGTGATTGTTTGCTAATATAGCTGCTGCTACTGCAGTAGCAGTTGTAGTATTAGCAGCAGCCTTTCTCTTTCTCTCCTTCCTCTTCTATGGCAGTCACTGGCTGCTATCTTCTAGCTTGTAGTTGTGTTTCTCCTCTAATTGGATTCACCCAAAATGGGGTAATCAATACAGTCATGGAAAGTAGTGGCAATGATTGGTGGTTCGCTACAGCCTTTTCTTCACTATTGATTTGAGGGGGTTTCAGCTCCATGGTGAAGTTGGCACTGTTTTACCATATATAGATATTTGCCTTGGGCTCTCACTTTCCATTGAAAATCTTTGTTCATGCCAGTAGATATCGGACACAGTAAAGGATGGTGATGCTCTGCTCTCCTCTTTCTTTTTGGTAGTATGAGCCTACTTAGTGGAAAACTGGATTTGTACTTCATACACAACTACAACCACCACCACCACCACTACCACCACCATTCTTACTACAATCACAATTATTACCACAACAATTACTACTAGCATTACTCCTTCATCTGTTGATGTCTGATTTTTATGTCAAAGGAAATTCATTTATTCACTTGAGAGAGAGAGAGAGGAGAAAAAAAGAATCAAAGAATATTTGGAATTCTATAATATTCAGCAGTATCACTTTCACTTTCACTTTCATACAGGAATTTTATTGAGGGAAAACAAAAACAAAAAATTATATTGATCACGTTCCCTCAGTTTCTTTTTTTTTTTTCTTTCTATTTTATTTTTTTCCTCTCCCCCTGGATTCTTAAAATATTGAAATCCTACAAACATGGAGACTATCACTGGGGTAAACAGACTGGGTAAGCTTCTTCGATATTTTTTTTAAATGTTTGAAAACATTACATTTTCACAGTACTATGAACTGATATGTTGTTATTTTGTGCTCTAGGAGTTTGTGAATTATCTTGAATTCTACTCCCACCATTCTGATGGCATGATCTTAGAATGTTAGCTGGACATTTTAATCAAATTGGAACTAAGCATGATGGTTTCCTCTTTTAAATTTAATCATTCAAAATAGTTAACATGTAACTTTTATGCTAAACAGTTCATTTGAACTGAAAAGGGATATCACAGTCTACTCAGCACTTTTATTATTTACAAAATCTTATGTTGATTCTTCGCTTTTACATAGGAGATTCATACTTCATACATACACATGCTTAAACATGCACTCTCATGTATTGTATGTGTAATGCATTGGTAATATCATACTTATATTCCTTCTTGGTTTATTAGCTAAATGTACATACAATTGTTTCTGAATATATATTTTATAGATTTAGCTTTTTATTTTTCTTTCTTATTTGATTATTTATCTTGTTATATATTTTTGTCCTGGTGTTGGTAATTAAGTCTAAAATGATAAATGTTAAGTTCCTATATAAGTCTGTCAAAAAAATTAATGTAAGATTAATTTTTATTAATTTTTCTATTCTGATACATACTTAAAATCATCCTTAATTTATATTCTTAGAATTTTCAAAGTATTTTTAAAATAACATTTGTTAATAGTGCTTACACTGTATGTCTTTCTTATTTTTTAGTAATCACTTTTAAATGATTACATTTTTTAAGCAAAGAAATTCTCCCCATATAAGTATTTCTTAATTTTATGTACTATTTATTCTTATTTCTTTTATATTACTTTTGAAGATAGCTCATAACTTTTGACAGTTTATCATTTTAGCCATACTGTTTTAATAGGGTATCAAATTCTCTTTTTTTCGCCACTCTAGAAATAATTTTATTTTTCCAACGCAAGTATCATTTATCTCTCTATCTCAGTTAATAAATCAAAGATTGTTGAATAAAAACCTCAATCACTAATAATCATTAATGAATTTCTAATAATTATTGATCAATTTCATAAATTTAATTTCCTCTAATAAATCACACACACACACTATATATGTATGCGTGTGTAAAAAAAAAAAAAAAAAGAAAAAGAAAAAAAACACCTGAGCTTGCTTGAACAATTAGTTATCTATCTGACCTTGCTATTAGAATCAACACCCAGTAAATTTAAAATATATTTAAGCTTGTCATAGAAGTAAGTGTAGAACTACTTTTAATTCTGAAATGCAGTTTCAACCACTTGACAAGATATTTGATTCTTGTCTCTCTTTCTCTTATTAATTTCCAAATTAGGAAAAATCTGTTAGCATTATACAATACAATCATCATAAAACATTGATTCATGAAAATGGTTTATAATTTACAATTTTACTCATGAAAGCAAAACTTTATATAGATTTATGTAGGTATCTCAATAAACCCACAGCCAAATGTCAAAATAAAGCATTTATTTTATACAAATACTTATTTTTCAAAATAATCTTCTTTCTTCTCAATACACTTGATTTAATGAGGAATATTACTCACATAGATCATATATTATACAGTGAAATTTTCAGACCAAAATTTAGCTGATGACAACTTGTCAGACTACAGACTACTTGCCCATTGATACTCTTCGTACATTATAAAGTAACAACTTTATGTAGGTAGAGTAAAAAGACCCTAACATAATGATGAAAAAAAAACATTTTATTACAACAAATATATATCTTCAGTATAATCGTCTTCCTTTAAAATTTGACTTGCAGCCATATCATGTTGAAACATCAGTTCTCATACGATCACTGAAGTTAAGCCATGTCGAGCCTGGTCACTACCTAGATGGTTGACCACTTGAGAGCACCAGGTGCTGTAAGCTTAGTGCGGGTGGTGTGATGTATAATACCTTGGAATTGGAATTGGAGATCAGAGAGCCAAGTTCCAATTCCATTCAGGTTCACATGTGCAAATACCCTTGAGAAAGTATGAGTTCACCTCTTTTCCACCCCAGCTATAAGTTAATTAGTAGGGCTTGTATCAGTAAATCATTATTATCTCCAAAACTTGGAATCTAAAAATATTTTCTGGCTTTACAAAAGGTTGATAAGCTGTAAAAAACAAATTAATCAATCAGTCCTTTAAAATTCACTTGATTCGATGAATATTAATTACACTGATCAAATGTTATTCAGTGAAACTTTTAGATCAAAATTAATTTAATAATTACAATTACTTTTGACTTATTGATCCACCTTAGTAAACATTAATTCAAATTATAATTTAGAATGGATTTTATTTTCTTGACAGTTTATTTTTTAATTTAGTGAATGCTCTAGGTATTGCCATTGATTGAAAATTTTTATTTATGAATCTAGAGAAGTATTTTTTGTAAAATTACCAGTACAATAAAAATGATAAAAGTATATTTATTTTAACTATTCATCTTTTCTGTATCTACAAAAATGTTACTTATTCACAACCCTAATATTTTTATCAATTTTTTTTTTTTTTTTTTTTTTTGCTCATTCAAATTTTCTAAATGAGTTCATATTTTTTTATGATTTAAATTCAGAAATTTTCAGCAATTTTTTTTTTTTTGAATTTAAAAAAATCTTTAATGCCCCCTGACAAAAAATGGTCTTTTTTGCTCCTAATTATCAATAGATAATATTCACAATATCTCTGGGAATTCCATGGTGATTTATATAGATACTAACACAGTGATTTCAGTCATCTTAGCAGAATTTCCCAGATCTCATTGAGGCAAGTTAACTGCTTCAACTATTGATCCAAGTAACCCCACCCTTTACTGAGTTAAATCACCCCATCTTACACCAAACCAACCCCCACAGAATATTAATATGATGATAAGTGGTTGCAGTACTCAAGTGGTTCACAAACCCTAACTTGGGAAGACACTTTCTTACAGCCTATAGTTTAAAGTATTTTATTTCACCTCATGATCATACAGTGTTGCTTTTAACTTAAATCAATTCCCAACGTTGGGCGTTTTAATAATAAAAACGTTTAGTGATATTAAAACAAACCAGTGCCCCATCTCTAAATTTATTTTGTCCAGTAAGGCTAAAAATGAATGTGGTTCTCAAGTTATAAAGCCATGAATGGCATAGACTAAATTCTAGTAAAGTTTCAACTGGTAGTAATTTAATTTAAGTAATTACAGGAATCAAAAATCTATCAATGATCCTCTCTAGGCTGTAAACTATCAAACCTGGTCAGAATTACATAAATTAATTAAATTTTTGAAATATGAAGCCTTGAATGTACAAGCCAACAAATACATTGTCATAAGTATAGATTAACTCAAGGAGAAATTTTGTGCTGAATGCCATCTTTACTGACCTCATATATTATCCATGTAATATAATTAAAATATAAAATGCTGACAAAAGACATTTTTATCAAATATTTGTATATGTATTAATATTTCTTTTTATTTTCTTAATTGTCCTCTTTTATATGTTGCATGTCTTACCTCCTTCATTTTTTTTATAAAATATTTATGAAATTTAATTGAGAAATACAGATAGTCAAATGCTTGTAACTGTTATTCATTATTCAGTTTTTATTGTGACTTCTATTTGCCTTGTCCTTTCAGGACATGGCCGATCATGGCTCTCCACAACCTCCTATCCCTTCTCGCCTTTAGCAAACTTTTTCATTTTGCCAAGTCTCCTATTCTGCAACTCATTCTCACAAGTTCATTAGATAGATGACCCAGTACCTTCCCCTCGTTCTCTATATGACCTGTGAGTCTCAAATTCTCCAAGCCCTCTTTTCTCATTATATCTCCAGGAAATTTCAGTAATCTCTTTCTGAATCTGAGTTTGTACCCTTTTTGTTTTCATTTTCCTTAAAACTTCTTTGTTGCTAACACACTCCATCATGGAATTCTCAGCATCCTTCTGTAGAACCACATTTCTGTTGTTTCCGGTTTTCTCTTCATCTGTAAGGAGAATGTCCAGTATTCACTGCCATGCAAGAGAATTGATATTACATAACAGTTCAGAACTCTTTTCTATGTTTTTAATGAAAATTTTCTGTTTCTTGGTACTTTATTTAGCTTTCTGAATGCATCTTTTGCTAATCCAATGCATATTCAGATTTCAGTGTCACATTCTGTGTTAAAACACTTCACAGATATTTAAACTTCTGTACCTGTTTCATGTTGACATTTCCAATTCATAGTTTGCATCTTGGACAGATGTGTGGGTGGTGTATAATGGCTTGGAATGAGAACTTGGAGAACTGTTTGCATTCCAGTCAGGTTTGTTACATTCCCTTACACACAAATACGCTTAAAAAAGATATGAATACCCCCCCAGATATGGGTTAATTAGTAAGACTTGTATCTGGAAAAAGCATTGTTATTATCAAAAAATAATACAATATTCACTCATAAAAAGAACTATTCTTACAATCCAAAATATATTTAATTTTTAAATAACCTACAAAGAGTTGACTAGCTTTAAGAAAAGCATTTTAATCAATCAATTGCTTCTTTTTCTTTTTTTCTTTTTTTTTTTTTTTTACTTTCTTCCTTCTTGCAGTTGGTTAGTTCCCTTTTTTCACAACCCTGTCTAAGAAGTCCTGTAGTTTTCTTTCTGTGCCTGTCATCAACACAGTGTCATCTGAATATCTTATATTGTTAAAACTATTCCTTCCAATAATAAATCTGGGTGACAATTCTAGCTCTCTTAGGATAGCCTTATTTTATTTTATTGCATTTATCAAATCTGCAGGTTTTTAAAATAACTTCTTTTCAGTCTTTCTCCATCTAACATATTCCATTGACATGAAATTGAATGATTCTCTTGAATCAATTGCTAGGTCTGCTGCTAGGAAAGTTGGTTCACTGTGCCATTCTAGACAATTTTTCTCACCAGAATCTATCTTACACATATATAATTTTACCATTCACCCATGCATTGAGTATTGATGTCAAATTTGGCTTTGTGCATCTGCTATGTATCTAGAGATTCTTGACAAAATCTAAAAAATCAGCAATGTTATCAGTCCTGATATGGCACCACAGCTTCAGTTCACTTTCCTACTGCCATAACATAGTTTCCATGTACCTTTTCTATAGATATTTTCATGGTAATTGTTTTGATAAATTTTCTCTTTAGTAACTGGAGTTCATGAATTTAAACACAGTACTTGACTGGCTGTTAGGTCTTATCATTTAACTGTTGAAATTACGAGATGTAACCATAACTTTTATGATATCAGTTTCTTTTCTCACACTTTTTTCTTGTGGAATATGTTTTCAACTTCTTACTTTTCTGTCAACTATGTTCTTCAAATACTTAAATGCAATGTCAATTGTCATTTTCTGTATCTTTGAATCCTGTTGTTTTATTGTTCCCCTCTACTCAACAAGGTTTTTCTCAGATTCTTTCACTTTCAGTAAACCCCATCTTAGTGACTTTATTTCCTAAGTGAAATGATTAAAAAAATAATGAATTGACTTATTTTTTTATTTTCATTTATCTTGAAAACCTGAAATATTCTCTTTCTTTCTTTCTTTCTTTTTTTATCTTTCTTTACTATATCTATCTATCTGTCTATCTGTCTTATATATATATATATATATATATATATATATATATATATATATATATATATATATATATATATAATGTGTGTGTGTGTGTGTGTGAATGTGTGTGTTTGATGGTTATATTTTGTTTTTTTCAGCTAGTATATAATTCTGTCCTACAGATTAGTTGACAGATCACATGTGCTATGTAATAATCCAGGGTTTGAGATAACAAATATCCTACATAGAGAATTCTGTCTAAGCTCTTATTGATTTCTAAGATGTTCTGTAGAAGAGGAATCTTGTCTACTCAGTTAACATTTATTGTAAATTTTCTCACTGCAGAATTAGTATTCTGATATCCAATCATTTACTGCTTGCACATGTCCAAATAGGGATTCAATGGGTTATAAGAATTTTTCTTCTGATATTTTTCTTTGAAGTTATATTTTTGCATCATAATTCTAAGAATTTTTTTTAAAGATCTACATTTTATTAAACCCAATGTGTTAAGTAGTATTTATTTAATTAAGTCAACAAATTATTTGCATACAGGCTATTATCCTCATCTTTGCTGTTATCATGACATTTCAGCCATTGTGACCTCAGGCCATAATCTCTGCACGGGCCAGGTATTGAACTCACAATTACCATGTCACCAAAATCTCATGGGATAATAGATTAGTAGATTAATGCATTGGCTTGTGAATTTGGTGATATAATAATCATGAGTTCAATCCTTGTTCTGAGCAGTGTGTACTTGATCTCAGTGGAAACATGGTGAGCAATAACCGAGCAGTACTAAAAATAAGAATGGGATGAAATATACCTAGACATATTCAGTGGAACAAGAACAGTTTACTTCTATAGATTGAATAAAGGGTTCAGTAGGTTACCTGGAGTGACATATATCCTTCACAGAGAATTCTATCTAATGATAGCTGGAAGGCACAATGGTCAAAACATTATGATAACACAATGAAGATGAGGAGCTCATGAATAGAATAAATGATGATCATCTCATCCCAGAAATTCAGACAGAAATCAACAAATCATTTATCAAAGGAGAGATAGACATTCACTAGTGTTTACTGATTGTGAATATATAGGGGCATATTCAAATGCACATTATGTCAGTAGCAGATTAGAGTAGGCTGGAGGAAATCACTGCCAATATGGGATTTTAGTAATCTCCTTAGGAGAAATTATAACAGAGGCCTTAGAGATATAATTTCAAAGATTTAATCTCTCTCTCTCCCCTCCCACCCTTACAAAGGCTGCTCAATTTAAGCTACCTCTGCCGATACTTACATG